AATGTTGTGAATTGTGCAAACTTTACAAATGGCTATCGTGCTCGTTTGAGCTGAGATATTTACCCCAAAACATCGTTGCTGTCTTAGCAAAGAAATCTTGTTTTTCCCCAAAACTTGGCAAAGCTGAGTGAAATTTCTTACCAAATAGCCTCCATGAGAAAGTATTTCAACCCGAAAGCAATATGTCCATTGCAGTCGGATGTCCTCCATCAACCGCTTTACGATCTAATTCACTCGGAGGATCGCGATGACATAAGGCAACAGCTCAACCTTACCTATTCGTTGCCACCTGGCAGTACGAACCCGCAGGATCTTTACGATCAGGGTTAGTCGGGACCGATTTTAGAAACCTCCAGGGAGATCCTAGGATGATAGATTTGTTTAGAAAATGCCCAGCACCTTGAGCGAAATGTAAATGCAAGATTTCGATGTTTGCTCGACAACACTTGCGGGTTCTTGGTAAGTGAATAACACAAAATCACATCTAAAAAAAACTTCGGTAAATTCATTTTCTACTTTTTCTGTGAACCACCATAAGGACCACGAATGAAAATTATAACAGCATTTTTCAGCAGAATAAAAAAATAAAACTGGAACAAAACATCAAAAAATAAGGATTACCCTTCTTATAATTCACGATAAAAATGTACAGTAACTTTTTTCTCAGTCTAATTTTTTTCTAGCGGATAGACATGCGAGGAAAATTGCTATCTTTGCATGGACTACCCTCTTCCTATGTTTTGGGTAGAAGCAATCCGGGTCCTGTCGTCGGTCTAATCACTGTTTGCACGTGAGTTTAGCTACTATTTTATCTTCCAAACATATATAAGAAGACAAGAACTCATTACCAACATATCTGTTGATTACTTTATATTGCTCCTTGCAGACCTTTCGTTCCGCCGTCTACTGCAGATGTTCTAGCCGAAGACCAAATCTTGAAGACCAAGCACCAACTCGATGGAACCCTAGTTTCAATGGATGATAAGTAGGGAGACGAATACTGTCTGGCAATTTGCTACAATTTCTTTGCTTCCAGAGTCCATGCCATGCTGGAATTGAATGAGAACGAACTGCCAAAATCATTCTACAGCTTGGTTCATGTAGAGGACGCAATATGTTTGGCTGAAGCTCATAAAGAAGGTAAATAACCATCTTCTACATGAATAGACTCCATAGAAATTGACAAAGAACACAACCAAGTTTTGTATACAAAGAGCATCCAAAAAATACTATGTCAT